CACCTACTGTGACAAGTAATCTACACACTCAAGGTGGTACGTTGGTACTCGAGAAGAACACGTCAATTTTCCCAACATTGTCATGCACTAGCTGGCTGCAGCTTCATTGTAAGCTTATGGTTTTTGCATTGACTCACTATTATTGACATTCTTTTTTACATCCCAGTTAGGTTGGACCAATAAATAAGGCTTTGTCTCTTTTTGTTTATCTGAAACTGTATCTTCTATCAGCGAGACCTGATGGAAGAACTGGAGGACTTGAGGTTTTAAAGTAATTACACAATCAAACTTGTCTTTCACAATGATGAATTTTATAGTGGTATTTCTTTCTCTTTACAACTTTCCTTTTCCTGTAAGAGCTTGGTAGATAGCCGGGCTCTCAGAGCCCTACTATTAGGCCTTCCATTCAGACTGAATGGAGATTTAAGGGTCTTAAGGGTTTGAAATCTTATGTTGAAACTGAAATCCTGCAGCCTCAGAGACTACCTTATTGTTAAGGTGCTGCATTTTAAATGGTTTAAACACCCAATTGAAGGTAGAGTAATCCAGTGCCACTATAAAGAGAACTGCAGGAAGGTCAGTTTCCAAGGACCCAGGACGCAGCAAAATATTGTGGCTGAGCAGAGTACTTTCTTTTTGCATTGCTTCAACTCCGATGGAGAGGTGAGGACCTATTCTACAATTCTTGCTGCACCTGTACAGCATCAATTTAAACCAGCAAAAGAAACTTAGGATGGAAGGCATAACCAGGGATAATCAGTGTGTTTAATGCTTGTTGATATTGTCGAGAACAGCATACATTTGCACTTTTGTTTTAATTTGGTACAAGCTGATCTATCATTTCCTCAGATCTCTGAGGAGCATTGATAATTGGTTTGTAAATCTTTGACTGATTCTGTCTGGGGGTTGCATACCAGCAGCAGACAATAAACTATCATTGTAAGACCTCTCTGCATCTCCAATAAAAAACCTTATAAGCATTAAAAGGCAACAGGAGTTTAGTTTCTGTTGGGAAAGCCTGTTTTTCCTACAGGATCTGGAGAAAAAAAACACTTGGGTAAGTGATGCATAAATCTGCATTTTTTCTTTTTGGCAAGTTGATTAGGAAAACACGACGCTGTTAGATTTCCATAGGGGATTTCAGCCATATCTGGTACAGATGTTTCCATCAAATGTAGTTAATGACATTCCCATATATTCAGTGGATGATTTGTCAAATTATAAGAAGGCTGATGAGGGGAAGGTGAGGGTGACAGAAAGGTGACTGAGACAAGTGAAAAATAAGAACATACAGTATAAGGGCAGGAAGATAACTAGTTTTCAGGCATTGTTCATTGATTCAAATATCATTAATGTGGATGTCTTGCTGAAATGTGAAAGTGTATTTTTACACCTAATAAACAAACAGATGTTTATCTGTGAGTGCTGGTATATTTTTTGTTTTAAAACAAACAGAAACACTTTGCACCTCCACTGTGCTGTCATGATAAGAAGATGGTGCTAGTAGCCAGATGCTTAGACAAAATGCAAGTCTTCCAAAATAAATTCCAAAATGTTTTACAACTCACTGTTAAATAAATAAGATTTAAAATAATAAATAGTATAATCTCATCAGAATAAAGTTAAGGTTAAGGTACAAAATGATTTGGTAATGGTTAGGAAAAAAACATGGATTAAATAAAAATAATATACTTGGTTAATTTTAGAAAACATTTTGGGTTGTTAAAGAGTTATGTCACTTTGTTAGCGGTGTCAGGTTTGACACGCCGAGGCATTCAGCGCGGAGAGAGCGAGAGCAAGGGTCAGGTTTACTAACTTTAGCGGGGAGCGCTGGTCCTGCTCGCTGTGCATGCATCATCTAATCGAGAGCTAGATACGAATTTCCTCAGGATAGTCAAATTATTTGGGGCTAATCGTAATATGGTGTGAGTGGGAAACTGTTTGGCGATGGCTGATACTTATCTCCAGAGTAATCTTGAGATGTGAGGCAAAAGGGAGGTTGATAACAACGGTTGAGCGTGTGCGTGATGTGTATCTCGGCGCGTAAGGAAATCTCTCTTCTAGAGGGTGCAAGAATGTGGGTTTGTTTTATAAAGGAAGGGGTGGTCCTATACCTCTATCTGTGTTGATGTTATTTTTTATTTATGTGGTATCTTAAGAGGACTGTGGTATCAGTATGCATGTAATATTTATCGGGATAGAGACTAGACATGCAGATGGAGGTTGCTAGCGTTCAAAGTATTGTTGCAAAGATTGTGTCAATATATGTATGTGTGATAACAAACGTTTTTAACGAATCATTAGTTGGGATGAGGGCATTCACATTGATCGAGTTAATGCGTTGAGCTGAGGATATTTGTTCAAGCTTAGAACCAGTTTAAGATTATAGCCCGAAAACACCACCATCTCTTTTTGTGTGTGTGTGCTTTTTTGAGAGAGTGGTTTTAGTCGTAAATGGGAGTTGAATGCCATAGCCTCCCCTCTGGCTCTGCTCTGCTAACGTTTATTTTTGCACATATCTCACAGATATTATTTCAGAGTGCCTCCTAAGACTGGTGATCATTAGCAAGGTGTTTAGTAGGCAGGTGTGTACGCAAGCCGTAGTTAACACGGTTGGCAACGTAACGGGATGATATTGTTTTTAATGAGTCAGGCGTTTCGGTGGGCGGTTCAGGCGAGGCTTCGGCAGGTGGCGAAATGTTGTCTTTCGTAGCCATTTACTGTATCCATACGAATCCGTAAATCGTAGCAAGCTAGCTAATGCTTGTCAGTACTGTCTATGCCGGTACTCGGTAGGTACTCAAGATGCTCACGTGACTGATATTCATGAATACCCTCCACAACATTTACTGAGAGCAGATGGTTGTTGGCCTTCTATTTGTGTTTGTTTCCTATTACTTTTTAACCTATGTATTTTACTTTGTGAAGTGTCTTTGAGTTTTTTTTAAAGCGCTCTAAAATAAAATGCAGCAATTATAGCGAGCGGCTGTAGCTTAGAGCCAGAGCGGGTCGTCCCCATTAAGGAAGGTTGTTGGTTCGATGCCTGGCTCCTCCTGCCACGTGTCGAAGTATCCTTGAGCAAGATACTGAACCCAAATTGGTCTATGCATGCAATCGGTGTATGAATGAATTCTGTGCTTTGAGTGGTCGAAAGGCGCTATACAAGTACAGGTCCATTTACTATCATTATTATATACATACACTGCTGTACAGAGCTGCCTGTGTGACTTGGAATGGCAAACAGAAAATCATTTTTTACCATAAAAGAAGGAAATAAACATTGATGAAACATGACCAGTATCAGTGCAGCACAGTTAAATAGCATGATTTAGCTGTGGTTTTTCTCTCCTTTGCCCTTTTTTCATCAGTAACTGATTTCAAAGTGTCTGGTCATTGTCTTTTCCTTGTCAACTCCTAAATTCTGAATGCATGGGAGTAAGAGCTTTGATCAGGGCCAAAAAATGAGGTTCAACCAACCACAAGCCTGAAAAAATTCTGCTATTCATTATAGAAAAAACTGTGAACACAGGGTTTGAAAATCACCACAATTATCCTCTAATTGTGCCATTGCTTCTGTTTATTTATATTTATATATTTATGATGGAATGCATATGCCAGTCACTTCTATCATTGTCAGATTCCACTATGTTCAATAAAACCCCTGCTAGGCACTATTATTTTGTGTTGACAAAAGCGGTAGTGTTTCTACTGCCTTGTTTGATTTCAAGGGGTATCAGACTGAATCTGAACTGGTGGCAGGGATTAAGATTAAGAACTATTTACAATGCCTGAATTGGACCAAAAAAGGTGCCAACCTAATTCAGCACAACCCTAACTATAATTCTTTTGGTGTTTTTTTCATCCTTTTTAACAAGGACTTTTCCAGTGCTGTCTTCTTAGCATTTGGTAGCTACATGTTTATACAGAGACGTAGTTAAGAAGTTGTTTAGTACATCGCAAGCATTGCTGTACACTAGGTATTACAAATACAGAGGTCAAAACTTGATAGGGAGGGTTTGGGGAATGTATCAAAGCATTAAAGTAGTTCATAGACAATTATTTCACAACTTCTATTGTATGTCATGCCCACCAGAGGCGGCAGTACGCAATAAGAAGTAAGGATACTCATATGGACAAAACTCAGAAGTGCTAGTACTCAGTACTGACGAGTACCGGCCCATCTCAGGCACTGACTACATAGGTCATATAGAGCTATCAGAGACTGTTTCTAACCAGTTAAAAACTACTAATACGTTTATGGAAAAAAATACATGAACAAAAATAACCACAATTATTCTCTAACTGTTTAATGTCTTCTGTTATTTAAATATGTTTATGATGGAATGCATATGCCAGCGAATTCTATCACAGCCAGATAGCGCTATGTATGTTTGTCGTATCATTGGAGGTAATTTCAGGAATGTTATTGAAGTCATTCATGTTATAATTTTTGTTAATTTTCATTGTGCATGGTTACTGACTATTTTGCCCCGCATGGTGATGCAACACTTGGTTCAGTGATGTGCAGTTGTAAACATTTATTGAAACTTTCAACAGTACAGTAAAGAACAGTCTTACATCGATTTTAAATAAATATATTTGTAAGCCACAAACAATTTTCAATAAATATTAGTAAATAAATAGAATTCAAATAAAAATATCCTTTGGTAGAGACGTTGCGGTTCCAGAACTTAAATGGTAAGAGATCTTCTTTACTTTGGATCTGCAAGAGAACGAGATAACAACAACAACAACTCTGTTATTAAGACTATTCATATATTTATTTCATTAATGGTACAAATTTATGTGAAGTAACTTCACGGTACACTCTATTTATAGGATAATACAGTCGTATTTTTTACCAATTTTTTCTATCATGGGGCTTAGTCAGATTATTTTCTTGTTGACTATTAAAATGATTTTTAAATGATCACTGGCCAAAACAAGTTAGACCAGTTCAACCTAGAGCTACTGTAGTGGAGTTACTCATTGTAGTGTAGTTACTGTGACTTACTGTATTTGCCGACAGTGTTACACCCAAGAGAACTCATGGAGCCTATTCTGTCCATCCGTCGACCGAAGCAGCCGGAGGATCTCCTGGATGAGTCATTGCGGACGCTCTTCAGGTTCTTGGCTGAGAGAAACTCCCTGATTGCCACCTCATCCAGTCCAGTTAGGGGATGCTGTACAGCTGCCTCCTCTGTGTTTAGGCTGTCCCTCTCTGCAGGGACTCTTTGGTCCACTTCAGTCTGCTCTGAAACTGACTCCTCTAGTCTCTGAAAGATCACCTGCAACATACACATAGACACTTATTAGCACTAGGATGGGATGATAAGAGATATACCTTTTTGTTTCAACAGACACAGCAGTTATGTCATTGTGTTTAAACCACCAGACTTCATTATCAAAAACATTCAATAATTTTAACTCGAAACACTATTCAAAATAGGTAAATAGGGTTGAAAAACATTGAAGTTACCCTTTATTATGTTTGTCATTACACGTATTATTATCCATTAAGAGTACCAATTGAACTTCAGTAACCACATATGAGATTATAATCCTATTAAATATCATATGAACCCAGAGGCCCATATAGGAAGTTTCTGTTGAAATGTGGGATGACAATAGACTAAACTTAGATACTGCAAATGAGTTTGTCATGTCTTGCTGCTGCTGCCTAAAAGGGCCCAAAGTGGAACCAACTTTCCAAACACTAGTTTCAGAATCATTCATTTGGAGACTCACCTTTAAGATGTCCATGTCAGTGTCAGTCAAGCCGGTGCTGATAGGATATGTGCTGAACAGCTGCAGGTTTAAGATGAGGAGGAAGCCACAGGGAGGAATGGAAGACAGATGCATGTTCCTCTTGGTCGTATCAATGGATGGATTGATGGATGCTCTTTGGCTTCTTTGCCTGGTGGCTGTTTGGATGCTGGAGCCCACAGCAGCACCCTCTGCTCTTTTATACTGAAGCTCGGCACATGTAGGTATGCCAGGAATTGGACTGACATTCCTGACACCTGGTTCTGATAACAGGAGCTGTCTGAAACTGCTCCTTTTAAAGCACTGTCTCTTAGATATGGGGCATTCATATGACATAGCTGGTTCCATATGTAACTTTGTCTCAGAAACATACTCCAACCCCCTCCTACACGGTACATTGTTGTCACTGAACTATGGGAAGTATAAACTACAAGACAATGTGACAGTGTTACTAAATTGACGGCTGTACATGATTGCTGTAGGGTAGCTGGCTGGTTTGAGAAATCAGCCGTCAATAGGAAGAAACAAATTCCACTCCAGCGATTCTCGAGAATGATGCAAGTACTGCTGTCCCGGATGAGTGCTTTTGTCTTGCTGCTAGCAAATCTTTGCTGCTTTAGTTCAACTCAGTTAATTTTGTCATATCCTTTATTACAGCGGATAATTACCTGCAATACATTTAAACCATTGACATCTAAAAGATGGACGCTGTGTCTCCACTTCATCCCTCTTCGGAGTGGGAGTCTGTGCAGTAGTGATTGGCATTGGTGCCGTGAAACTGAGGTCCCACTCATACACCCAGCTGACTTAATTGTGAAACCCCTTTTTTATATCTTCAAATAACTAATTAAAACCAAATTGATCAGAAGAATGAACACTTTAACATACATCAGCATGGTAAGAACTACCTAAAATGACAGAAACCATCTTTGCAAAAAATTTATTTGACGAGTACTTTGGCGGGGACTTTATGACCTTTACTGCAGTCAGCCACCAAGGGGCGATCAAGATGTTTTGGCTTCATTTTTGGAGAGCAGTCATCAATTAAATTCAGCTCAATTCAATTTTATTTGTATAGCTACCGGGAGAGTCCCTTAGTTATGCTGCTATAGGCCTAGACTATCGGGGGATTCCCATGGTGCACTGAGCTCCTCTCTTCCTCTCTCTCTCTTT